GATGAAGACCGGCTCCACACAGGGGGACAGAGCCTCTCGCCCGGATGAAGACCGGCTCCACACAGGGGGACGGAGCAGCAACATGTCTGTGCAGCTCACTGCCCGAGTCCATTAGAGACTCTGCCACTGTCAACACTTTGTTGGAAGCATGTGCTGTGTGTATTGTAAGGCCCTTTGAGTGTTTTAAAAAATGCTACCAGTATTATTTCAGTTTTAGTTTTGGCAGTAGTAGCACTTTGAGGAGCTGAGATGGTATTAGTTGGAGTAGCAGGGTTGTCCTCAACTGAAGTCTTATAGAGACAGTCTCTGACCAGGTGGGGCTGCTCCTCCCTTCAGCTTCCAGTGAACAAGCGGGACCAGAAGTGACTGCATCTCCTCTGTGATGGCATAGCAGCTGGATTACACATCTGTATGGATCAACTGGAAACGATTAGTAACAGCTGATGTGTGATTTTGTTAACTCTGTTGGCAAATCATGTAGATTTAATCCATCTATTTTTTTGACCGCTTTATCCAGTACAGGGTCATGAGGGGAGCTGGAGCCTATCCCATAGAGCAACAGGTGCAAAGCATGATACGCCTGGTTGGGAGGCCTGTCCATCACAGGGCACCCACAGACACTCATACCAAGGCCAATTCTCCCAAGAACTAATTAACCTGCCAGTGGTGCATTTATCAGGGCTGTGGGAGGAAACAAGACATACCTGGGAGACCATGCAAACTCCACCCAGAGCAGCTGGCCCAGAACTGATCCACTTGTCTAACATGAACTGTTGTGCTCCTTTAACCTACTGTTGGATGTCTTAATGGGGGATATATGTAGGTTGTTTGTAAATACTTGGGCTTACAAACTGAAGTTACGGGTTATTCTGTCCCCGTATCTTGGCTGTCAGATCAGGGGACATATTTCTGCAGCCCATCTGGCCCATTTAGTTTGGGTATTGGGCTGATCCCGGGATCACATGTCCTACTTTCTTTCATGTGACATCAGGATTGGCTGAAACCACATTGCTGGGTAACTTGTTCCATACACCCACTACTCTTTGGGTAAAGTAGCGCCGACCACATTAAACCACTCCTTCTATGCTCAGCTGGAAAGAAGCAAGTCAGTTATATTTTGGCCTCCTGTTAACTGGCTAGTGTTGAACTGAGGGCAGCAGCCACATTTTGCAGTGTCGCTGGTGTAGTCTGGGGTTGTGGCCCTCCTGTCTCACTGTTTCCTCTTGCCCTTCCTGCCCCGGCTGTAGGCTTGTCCACAGCACAGCTGAGCGCGATGGGGCGGATCTTCCTGGACCACATCGGCGGGACACGGCTGTTCTCCTGCGCCAACTGCGACACCATCCTGACCAACCGCTCCGAGCTCATCTCCACGCGCTTCACCGGCGCCACCGGCCGCGCCTTCCTCTTCAACAAGGCATGCCTCCCCGTCCGCCGTGCCTCGCAGGGCTGGGACCAGTTACTGAGGAGCACTGATGTAGTACAGGCACTAGCATGCTGCCACACAAATGCATTTAAGAAGAAAGTAAAGGCAGTTCTGTTGAAGGATTTTTCAAGTATACCAGCTGAGCAGAGTGTGACGGGATAGGAGCTTGCTGAGCTTGAAGCACAGAGCAGTGTGAAAGGACACAACAGCTCTCTCTGGGGGTGGGCTAGAAGCACAGAGCGGTGTGTGATGGGACAGAGCTCTCTCTAGGAGCGCAGACCGGTGTGTGATGGGACAGAGCTCTCTCTAGGAGCGCAGA